TTCAATTGTGATGTTGTTGATGAAGACATTGTTGAGATTGCTGGAAGTTTTAGGGTTTAGTGAAAAAGAGGGGGGTTTCAGAATTTTGGAGAAAAAGAAAAAAGACTAAACTGATGAGTTTTATAGAGAGTGTGGAAGAGTGAGTGTAAAACACCCACTAAATAAGACTAGGGGTACGTGGAAGTCGTTGGTTGGATTCAGAGAGAGGTGGCGTAAGGTCTAGTGTTGGTAATGAGTGTGATTAATAGTAATCATTATTTTTAAACCGCACCATGCTATGGTAACTGGTCCAAGACGGTTAGGTACTCAAATAGGCGTCTTGATTGACGTGGGTAAAGTCATGCACAGTAAATGTCATGATTCTTCAACAGACCTATCAAAATCTTGTGAATCTGTTTAAAATAAATATTTCTCAAAGGGTTCGAAATACATATTTTAAAGGGGAATTTTGTTGGCTGAAGATTTTGATATTGTGATTCGGAATGAAATGATTGGGCTTTGTTTGAATAAAGCAGGTTTTATGGTTTGGAAGGGAAGAGACTATTTTTCGAATGGAAATAATAAAATTCAAGGTTTTGAATGATAGTTGTGGAGTGCAAGTCTAAAGAATGTTCGAAATAATGATGAGATTATATTTGTGAAGGTTGTTTCGAAAATGACCTGTGAAACGAATTCGAAACGAAGGTTCCAAAGCGTTTGAAATTTAAATGTGAGCGGGATATTTGAAATTCAAATACATAAGCGTTGGAGCGTTCGAGGACGCGTGGAGGCTAGAGGGAAGTAATGCTCTGCATGCTTCAAACGTGGCAGATTCTGATAGCAAGACTGTTATGGTCGAAATAGTATAAATAGAGGTCTTAGTGTTAGGATTTCGGGGTGTCATATCTGTTGTACAAATTCAGTAAACATTCAAAATACCGCATGGATAGGGAAACGAATGCTCGAAAGATGTACGTATGATAACACCAACATTTACAATTCAATGAAAACTCTTTATATTTTCCAGTTTTGTCTTTCATTTCCATTTCATTTGTGCTTCAAACATTTTTACGTTCATGCCTTTACATTAGAGCTTCTACATTCAGAGTCATTTATTTCTTTCTGCATTTAAACGCTTTCTTAGGTTCGAATCCTTTAAACATTCAGCAACTTTTATATTCACTCACTTAATCCTGCCATTTACCCAATCTTAAGTCTGTTTACTTTTCTAATAAACATTCCTTATACTATATAGAAATTATCCTTCGAATCATTTAGCATAGTAATCGAAGTGGATTGGATGTCTTTGAAACACTTTAATTAGAAGTCCTAAATATGAATATCGGTTTTACAGTTAGACTTAGCCAAACAACTACGTACCATAGGATCAATCTAGTCGATCCTGCAAGTTACCAGAGAAATTGAATAACAGTAATTAAGTTTATTCGATAGTTTGGAAGACTAGCGGTTGTTTACCAGAAATCACTGTGAACAGTATTTTTCCAAAAATTGCGCAAAATTCACTCTGTGCAATCGATTGCACTCTAGGAGCAATCGATTGTATAGTGAAAAAAATGAATTTTTTTTTAATTCTTTTTCTTTGCAAATAGAGATTTTAGGGAAATAATACCGGAAAATCTTATTTGCCATATGCTTCGACTCGGTACCTACAAAAAACAAATATGCAAAGACAAAGACAAATATTTTTTTTGTATTTTGATTAGAAGTTAGTCAACAAAACAAGAACAAACTTAAAGATAGGATGCAAATGTGATGAATGAAGCTATTTATTAATGATTGTGACCAAAATGACAAAATATGGTATAAAAGTGCGACTGAAAAAGTTAGAGGCAAAATTTAGGGTACAACAGTATTGGTAGAGTATTAACAAATAAATTACATATGAACTATTAATAAATTTGTTGAGACAAAAAATTTGTATACATTTAATTAGCAAATACAAATTTATAATATTTTTAAAACATTAAATATTATAGAAAGTAATTATGATATTTATTTATAAATAATATATTATATTTTTAGTGTTATAAATTTAAAATTTTGTTCCAACAATCAAATTTTCTTTGGCCCGTCCTTGAATGAAGTATGAAATGAATAAAGTACGAACACATAATAATATAATCTAATTACAAATACGCAAGTATTAAAAGTATTTATATCAAATTGATAAAAACATTAAAACACATAAGTGATACCATATGACATTGTGATTGCACTTTCAGACAATATATACTTTACTTTTAAAAGAATTGAATAAGTATCAAACAACGCTATATAGAGAATTTGATATGGCTACACAATACTATTATTATTTGATCATTATTTGCATTAACATACATATTTCAAAATTTAGGCATTCAAACATTAACACCATTAGCTGCCTAAAATTTAGACATACAAACGTTAATATATTAACGAGGATTCAAATGTTGAATCACTCCTTCAACTAAAGAGATATCATATTTAATTTGAATTGGCAACTGTTCTTCTTTTTGCATAACATCTTTCTTTATATGTAGAGTTTTGTATTTATTTGAACCTCATGATTCATTATCTCCATCATACACGTCTATAGTGTTAAGAAAAATCTATTTGACTAAACAAAATAATATATTTTATATGATTTTTCCAGTGATATTACTAGGTCATCAATTGTCTTATGTGTTTTCTTATGTTGTAGTGCTTGCATGGCAATGAAGAAGATAATATCTAAAGCACTTATATTAAGCGAGTTTAGAGGTTGACACATAATTCAGATATCAAATCCATATTGTTTGGCGACATGACAAAATTCAATGTCATTCTCATTAATGTGACATCTTGCATTGTCTTGTTGAATAAAAATTAAGTGATATATGTTATCTCTTGATCACTTTACTTTTATGGCTGAAATAACTGTTCGATTATAAACTTTCTACTAATTTCTCCATTGAGCGAGTAATGACTTTCGTTTCAAGAGTTCTCACAACACTATTTACACTTTTCATTCTTGCTGACTCTTTGATAACGAATGGAAAACACCTATTTTTCAAAGAAAATTATGTTCCCTTCCACATTAAATCTTGGACGTTGATGGCAACCAAGAACATTATATTTTCGATAACGTTCTTACTTTTGCAAGCGCAGTGCAGTTCATCTTCTTTCGCAGTTCATAGACTTTTTGTTCATGTAAACTAATTTCCCGATCATATGAATAATGTTAAACATAATTTTAAAAGTTAGATTGTGAGACATTGTATCTGATTCCAACATTAACAAACAAAAATCGAAAACATTGCTTAACATTCAAAAAAAAAAAATGAAGAAAAAAACTTCTCCAATCAATCGAATTTTTTTTCCCACAAAAAAATTATTACATGACCACTCCTCTAAAGCAAGACTACATTCTAGGGCAATTCATTTCGCCCGCGATAGTTTGGCGCAATTTTCCCATTTTTTCCCTTTATATATTTCCATTTTCGTTCACGCGACTCCAAATCCAAATCCCCCTGGTTCCACTTCCGCAAACCACAGCACATGAACCCTAATTTCCCCCTTTCTCATTCCTCCAACCATTTCATCCCCGTTTCTCTTCATCTCCTCAATTTCACTCCCCGCAACACGCCCTAATCCTATCCACGCTTTCAAAAACACCCATACCCATTTTCACCCCTCACTCTCTCTCACCCTATTTAGGTCACAATTCCCCCAAATCGAAACGTTCTTCCTCATCTCAACAACCAAGCGCCGCTTCCAACAAATTTCTCAAATCGCAGATAACGAAACAACCACCGTTCACGCCTGAAGCCTCTCAGTGTTACTCCTTTACAGGTTTTTTTCTCGTTCTTTACCATCGTCATCTCAAATCGCCCGAAACTATTTTTTTTCCAGTTTTTTCGATTTTATTTTAATTTAATTTTTTATTTCTATAATTCTTTCTGGATGTTCTGGAAATTTTGTGTGTATATATTACTGTAACGTAGCTTCGTGCGACCACGCGGTGTTGTAGAATCCTTTGAGTTTGAGATTCAGACGTTTTCTCTTTGTTGCTCCGTGTAAAGTGGTGTGTTGTGGCGGAAAACAGCGTCGTTTTGGTTCTGATGCGCAAAACCTTGGAAACCCTAGATTTCACACAAGTAATTTTTTAGGGTTAATTTTGTCTAAGTATTTGGCTGAATCAGTTGATAAAATTGTGAAGAGATTTTTATGTTTTGTTATTGTTTTTTATTCTGGTAGGAGATTTGCGTTTCTTTATTTTGTATTGATGTTGAACTATGCTTTTTTTTTTCTCATCCATTTGTTTATGGACCTTTTAGAGAAATTGGAAACTGATTGGATTTTTGTGTTGAATTTGTAAAATGATAGAGTAATTGTAAAGGGGGTGCTCATTGTGGTTTGGTCTGGAACGTTTTTGATTCCTGGGTGAATGGGTCTAGGTTTAGAAAAGGAAGCTGGTTCTTTGTTCTGGACTGGTTCTTCTAGATAATTGTGTCCAGCTAGTGAATGTATTTAAAAGTCTGTCATCTTCTCCCTGAGAAGTATTCTGATTACTCTTTGATTGAATTGTACTATTTTGTTAGAACCATTCACCATATAGAGTGAACATACGATTTGATTTGCTATGAAGATCTCCACACCCAACCTTTGAAGAGCTCTTTTGGTGGTCTACTGATTTCTCCCTGGGGCTTTGTGAATTGTGAAAGTCTATTAGGCCATTTTCTACCTATTGCATGTTCTTTATATTTATGTAGTGAAAACTTTCTTCTTTAATTTTGAGGCCTTAATGTCTCTTCTGGAACACAATTTTTTTAATAATAAAACAATTAATTGCAATTACTTGGTTGATATGCCAAATATAAATAGTAAATGTTAGATATGTACATTCATTTTAATCCTTTATCGACTGGAACATTATATTTTTCTCAGCTAGGAGGATAAAATAGAGTTTGCATCTATAATTGTTCTTCTAGTTTCTTATCCATGTTGTTATTTTCTTCTTTTATTTCCAGAAATAGCATACCATGTCAGACCATCGAAATGGAAGTGCACAAGCTGCCAATGGAAAATCTAGTGCAGCTGGTTCAGCCTATGCTATTGATCTGACTACATTTCAAACTAGACTGAAGTCATTTTACAATCACTGGGATGAACACAAAGCAGATATCTGGGGCTCTTCTGATGCAGTTGCTGTCGCATGTCCTCCACCTTCAGAAGATCTAAGATACCTGAAATCTACTGCTCTATTCTTGTGGCTCCTTGGATTTGAGTTCCCGGAAACAATTATGGTTTTCACAAAGGCGCAGATCCACATATTGTGCAGCCAAAAGAAGGCATCTATTATTGAATCTGTCAAAAAATCTGCCAGAGAGTCAGTTGGTGTGGAGATTGTATTGCACGTCAAGCCTAAAAATGATGACGGAGCTTCTCTTATGGAAGCTATTATCCGTGCCATCCGTGTTCAGTCAAAATCTGATGGCCATGATTCTTCCACTGTTGGACACATAGTTAGAGAGGAACCTGAAGGGAAATTGCTTGAAGCATGGGCTGAAAAATTAAAGAATTCTAAATTTAATCTGAGTGATGTGGCAAATGGGTTTTCTGTATTGTTTTCTGCAAAAAGTAATGAAGAAATTACATCCATCAAGAGAGCCGCATACCTGACAACCAGTGTGATGAAGAACTTTGTAGTTTCAAAGCTTGAGAATGTAATTGATGAAGAGAAGAAAATTTTACATTCTACATTGATGGAGGAGACTGAGAAAGTTATACTGGAGCCTTCAAAAGTCAACTGTAAACTGAAGGCAGATAATGTTGACATCTGTTACCCTCCCATTTTCCAGAGTGGGGGGAAGTTTGATCTTAAGCCTAGTGCTGTCAGCAACGATGAGGCACTTCACTATGACTCTGCCAGTGTTATTATATGTGCTGTCGGTGCTCGGTACAAGAGCTACTGCTCAAATATAGCTAGGACTTTCTTGATTGATGCAGACCCTATCCAAAGTAAGGCTTATGAGGTTCTTCTTAAAGCTCATGAGGCCACTATTGGTTCTTTGAAGCCTGGTAATAAGTTGAGTGCTGCATATCTAGCTGCTGTTTCTGTTGTGGAAAAGGATGCCCCTGACATGGTTTCATGTTTGACAAAGTCTGCTGGGACAGGAATTGGCATTGAGTTTCGTGAGTCAGGTTTGAATATTAATGCTAAGAATGACCAGATAGTTAAAGAAGGCATGGTATTCAATGTGTCAATTGGATTTCAGAATTTGCAATGTCAGAACAGTAAGTCTAAGAACAAGATCTTCTCTCTCTTGCTTGCTGACACAGTGATCATCAACAAAGACAAGGCAGATGTTGTGACTTCAATGAGCTCCAAAGCTTTAAAAGATGTGGCTTATTCTTTCAATGAGGATGAGGAAGAAGAAAAACCCAAATCAAAGGCTGTTCACAGTGGTGCAGAACCCTTGATGTCTAAGACAACACTAAGGTCAGACAATCATGAGATTTCAAAAGAGGAACTTCGTAGACAGCATCAGGCAGAGCTTGCTCGTCAGAAAAATGAAGAAACTGCTAGGCGACTTGCTGGTGGTGGTAATGAGGCAGGAGACAACCGTTCTTCTTCCAGGTCTTCTGCAGAACTGGTTGCCTACAAGAACATAAACGACCTTCCCCCTTCCCGAGAGATGATGATTCAGATTGATCAGAAGAGTGAAGCAGTTCTCTTGCCAATTAATGGAAGTATGGTTCCTTTTCATGTGGCTTTCATTCGAACTGTTTCCAGCCAGCAGGACACCAATCGCAATTGCTATGTTAGAATCATTTTCAATGTTCCTGGGACCCCTTTCAGTCCTCATGATTCAAACTCAATGAAGTTTCAAGGATCTATATATTTGAAGGAAGCTTCGTTCCGTTCCAAAGATTCAAGGCACATAAGTGAGGTTGTGCAATCCATCAAAACACTCAGGCGACAAGTTGTAGCAAGGGAGTCCGAGAGAGCTGAGAGGGCAACTTTGGTTACCCAGGAGAAACTGCAGCTTGCCAACAACAGATTTAAGCCAATAAGATTGCCTGACCTTTGGATTCGCCCTGCTTTTGGTGGGCGTGGAAGGAAGATACCAGGCACTCTTGAGGCTCATGTGAATGGATTTCGATATTCTACCACCAGATCTGATGAGCGTGTTGACGTGATGTTTGCTAATATTAAACATGCTTTCTTCCAGCCAGCGGAAAATGAAATGATTACCCTCCTGCACTTTCATCTGCACAACCATATTATGGTAGGAAATAAGAAGACCAAGGATGTTCAGTTTTATGTTGAGGTAATGGACATGGTCCAGAATGTTGGAGGTGGGAAGAGATCAGCTTATGATCCTGATGAGCTTGAAGAAGAGCAAAGAGAGAGGGAGAGAAAGAACAAGATTAACGTAGAATTTCAAAGCTTTGTGAATCGGGTAAATGATCTCTGGGGACAACCGCAATTCAGTGGCCTTGACTTGGAGTTTGATCAACCTCTTAGAGAACTTGGCTTCCCTGGGGTACCTCATAAATCATCAGTATTTATTGTCCCTACCTCAGCCTGTCTTGTTGAACTGATAGAGACTCCTTTCCTTGTTGTCACCCTTGGTGAGATTGAGATTGTGAATCTGGAGAGGGTTGGTCTTGGGCAGAAGAACTTTGATATGACAATTGTGTTTAAGGACTTCAAGCGGGATGTCCTCAGGATTGATTCTATCCCTTCTACATCACTTGATGGCATCAAGGAGTGGCTTGACACAACAGACATCAAATATTATGAAAGCAGGCTGAATCTGAACTGGCGTCAGATCCTAAAGACAATCACAGATGACCCTAAAAGCTTCATTGAAGGTGGTGGCTGGGAATTTCTGAATTTGGAAGCTACTGATTCAGAATCTGATAATTCAGAGGAATCAGATAAAGGTTATGAACCATCTGATATGGAACCTGAATCAGATTCTGAAGAGGAGGCTTCTGAGAGTGAATCACTTGTGGAATCTGAGGAGGATGAGGAGGAAGACGACTCGGATGAGGATTCCGAGGAAGAGAAGGGAAAGACTTGGGAAGAACTGGAGAGAGAAGCAAGCAATGCAGATAGGGAGAAAGGGAACGAGTCTGACAGTGAAGAAGACAGGAAAAGAAGGAAGGCCAAAGCCGCCTTTGGTAAGTCTCGAGGCAGTATGAGTAGTAGTATGCCAAAGCGACCCAAGTTAAGATAGATCATGGTTTTATTTCTTGGTCATTTTGATGCTTAAGTATTGATGTTACTTTGTCGTAGCTGCTGGTGCATCTTGTGTATCTTGTGTCTGGACAAGTTGTCTTTTATGATTATAACTTAGGTACTCCATCACTTAGTATAGTTTCAGCCACTCCAGGAATCCTTGATCCTTGGATCTAATGCCTGTCCTTTGTTTGTGGTTATTAACACTATTATGAACTGCTGCTGTTTTAATTTCTATCATGTTATTCGCGACCTCTTTTGGTTATGTGTTATTTTGTTTATATTTTCTTTACCTTTCCCTGTTGGCCGTGTTATCTCTACTACAGAACAGTAGAATGATGGAGATTGGTGAAACATTATGATGGATGAATTACTTCAGAACTCTGTTATTTTACTGAAATTTTGAAGATTTTAAAAAAAATTGTATCATGGGTTCTATATATAGTAGGTTCTCATCAGTTTGCGACAAACTTCATTCTAGAATGAGGGTGGACTATTAGAGAGTTATGTCGATTTCAAAGGGTGTTGATAGGTTTAAGGTTTAGGTATGTAGAAAACAAATTGAACTGCACTGTTAATAATTTATTACTAACCAAAGTGAGTGTTTTCATAATTTATTACTGATTCTTGAATTGAACTAGTCAGTCAAGAGAAAAAAACTTATAGTTTATAGGATTAAATATATTTTTAGTTCTTATAAGTTACTAAATTTTGTTTTAGTCTATAAATAAAACTGACATGTATTAGGTCATATAAAATTATTATGCATGTAAGTTTTGAATGATTATAACATGTTTATAATGTTATACAAAGCACTTAAAAAAAAAGAAACTCAATTTAATTTCTTAGTCGAAATTTCCATTAATTATTTTTTGAAATTTAAGAAATTCATAATTCATTCTTCTCATTTTAAAAAATTTTAAAATTTAATAAATAAATATTTTATAGTATTCTAAACACTCATAAAAAAATTATTCAAAAATTTAAAAATTTAAAGATAATAATTTTTAAATTTTTTTTAAAAAAAATAATAGGAACTAAAACTACACAAATATAATTTTTATAAGAATTAAAATATATTATTTTTTTAATAAAAATTAAAAATGAAATTAAAAATATTTACATGAACAGAAATATTTTTTATTTCATACTTCTTGCATTTGGAGAAGAAAACAGCATGAAATGTAAAAGAAGAGGGAAGAAGATAATGAGCAAAATGATAGCCTATTGTTATATTACACATGTGATTTCCTTGTCCATATATAGTGTTGCTATCACTTAATAGCCAATCAGAAAATTGTAATTAACTATCTAAAAATAGTAAAGTACTAAAACTATATTATTTTCTAAGTCTTAACAGCCACTCTCAAGTTAAGCATGGTGAATGTTGATCATGCCAAGCTTGGAAATGAACTTGTTGAAAATTGAAGTGGATAAAGCTTTGGTTAGGAAATCAGCCAGTTGTTCATGAGTTGAAATTGGTAGAAGCCGAAGCAAGCCTTGCTGCAGTTTTTCACGGACTAAATGACAGTCAATCTCAAGGTGCTTGGTGCGTTCGTGAAATACCGGATTGAGTGCAATATGCATTGCACTTTGGTTGTCACAGTACAAAACAGGGAGTTTGGTACATGTGATGTACAATTCTTTCATGAGAGCTATCAACCAAAGCAGTTCACATGTAGCAAAAGATAGTGCCCGATACTCTGCCTCTGAAGATGATCTGGAAATAATATCTTGCTTCTTTGCACGCCATGATATAAGAGAAGTTCCAAGAAAAAAACAATAGTCTGAAATAGACTTTCTTGAATCAATACACCTTGCCCAATCTGAATCTGAGAAACCAAGAAGTTGTAATTCAGCATTCCTTCGAAACAAAATTCCTCTACCAAGGCTATTCTTCAAGTAGCGTATGACTCTGCAAGCAGCATGATAGTGTGCCATTGTTGGATTGTGAAGAAACTGACTGAGTTGTTGGGTGGCATATGTAATGTCTGGACGCATTGTGTTAAGATACAGCAAGCGGCCTATTAAACGCCTATAAGCTCCAATGTCTTCAAAAGCTTTGCCACTATCAGCATGTAGCTTGACAGATGGATCAAGAGGTGTGGGAGCTAGTTTAGATCCAAGCATACCAGATTCCTGCAGAAGATCAAGACAGTATTTTCGTTGTGATAAAGAAATGCATGCCTTTGAGTGAGCAACCTCGAGGCCAAGAAAATACCTCAATATTCCCAAGTCTTTGATACTAAAAGTTTCATCTAGAATGAGCTTGATACGATCAAATTCAGACATAGAAGTGCCAGCTAAGATTATGTCATCAACATATACTAAAATTGCTGTGAAGTGTGCATCAGTTTTCAAAGTAAAAAGGGAGTAATCAGAAGTAGATTGAGTGTACCCTTGGTGCAATAAAAGAGCAGTCAGTTTTCATACCATTTGCGACTTGCTTGCTTCAGACCATATAAGCTCTTCTGAAGTTTACATACCTGATTAGGTTTGTGACATGGAACCCCTTCAGGTATGGTCATGTACACATCTTCTTTCAATTCCCCGTGTAAAAAGGCATTGTTAACGTCAAGTTGGTGTAAAAACCAATTGTTGATAGCTGCAGTCGCAAGAAGGGTTCTGACAGTTGTAAGCTTTGCTACTGGTGAAAACGTGTCAAAAAAATCAAGTCCTTCGATTTGATTGTAGCCTTTGGCCACAAGTCGCGCTTTATACCTCTCTATCGTGCCATCTGCTCTATGTTTCACTTTGTACACCCATCTTTTACCAATTGGTTTGATATGTGGTGGCAAATTAACTATATTCCAAGTTCTATTCTTGTCTAATGCATCTAATTCAATCTTCATGGCTTTGGTCCAATGTTCAGATAGACATGCTTCTTTGTAAGTCTTTGGCTCATGAATGAGAGTGATATTAGATGCAAATGCACGATGAGATGCATATAGAAAATGTAATGAATCATAATTTGAAATTGGATAAATAACTTTAGATGTACTTGATGATGACTTGACTGCTGATACATCAGATGCATTGCACACATAATCTGAGAGATAATGGGGTGTCTGTTTTGTTCTAACAGGTCTAGGCTGAGTTTTGCAATTTTCAGTATCAGGCATATGTTGGAGGTCATGGTTCTCATAAGTGTTTTCTACAGTTTCAGAGTCAGTGTTAGAATGATATAATGTGTCATTGGCTATGGTATTGTGATGATCATGTTCTTCAATAATAGGTTCAATATTCTGTGATGGAACATGTTGAGGTGAGTCAATGGATTCTTTGTGAAGATGATAGTCCCAGTCAATATAATTGGTATTTGGATAGGGAAATATGTGTTCATGGTGTATGACATTTCTAGAGACAAGAATGATATGATTATTGATATCATAGAGTACCACACCCTTCATTCCATTCTTGTATCCTAAGAAAACACATTTGCGAACCCTTGGATCAAGTTTTGATCTATGCACATTTAAGGAGGATGCAAAAGCTAAAGATCCAAACACTTTGAGACTATGCATATCTGGATGCTCATTATGTAGTATGAAGTAAGGATAAAGGTTATTTAAAGTTTGGGTAGGTAGCTTATTTATAATGAAGGTGGCATGCAAAATGGCATATGACCAAAATTTCTTGGGAAGCTTGGACTGAAAAAGAATAGCTCTTCCAACATTTAATAAATGTTGATGTTTCCTCTCCACTCTACCATTTTGTTATGGAGATTCAACACAACTGGTCTGATGAATGATTCCTTTAGAAGCATAAAATTCAGGAATATGAAATTCAGCACCATTATCAGTTCTGATAATTTTGACAGAAAGCTGATGTTGGTTTTCTATGAGATTGACAAATTTTTTGACATGCTGTCTAGCTTCAGACTTAGCTTTCATTAAGGTTATCCATGTGAATCTGCTACAATCATCAACATCAGTTAAAAAGTGAAATTCTGGCAATAAATACTTAATGTCACAGTGAATGTTATGACACCGTATCTGACAAATTGTACACAAACCAAACAATTTAAAAGACAGTAAAGAACACAATCAATTGTTAACCCAGTTCAGTGTATAACAACACCTACATCTGGGGGCTACCAAGCCAAGGAGGAAATTCACTATAAGAGGTATTAATTTAGGAATAAACCAACCAGTTTATCTCCTTCACTTAAGACCTACCCAATGCAACTTCAATCTAAGTCCTACTTAAACCCGAGTTCCTACTCACTCCCCCTCAATCACAACAGTGATACTAATCTACTGATTAATAAGATTATGAAGACATTCTTCAATACACACGCTTGATTTTGCTTCAAAGCTTTAATCAAGAGACACAACACTCGTTCTTCAAAGCTTTGAGTGATAAACAACCCTTACAACCAAATCCTACTCCAAGTCACTTATCAAGTGATAATTGCTTGGCTCACAGTAATTACTAAAACTATCACAACTACAAAATGCCTTATTGATCTTCTCTAAAAAAGGGCTGCACACCATTCGGATTTGTGAGAAATATATATGCAGTCTATTTTTCATTTTGGACTTCCATAAAAATAGCTAAGGTTAACCAAAGTTAACCTAAAGACTTGGTCTTGGGCTTTCATCATAACAGATTAGGGTTAAGCAAGGTTAACCTAATATCCACGTGAGCATCTGATCTAGTCAATATACTTCAACTCAGAATAGCACACCAGATTCCTGAAAATTCTCAGGAACAATAAATCTGCACAACAACTTGATCAGTACAGGATGTCTTAACATTGGTTATGACATCATGTATCCTGCTCACTGATTTTGGTAGAATTCAGTACATATGATCATAGCTTAATCATCATGATATTCACTCATACTGAGTTGTTCCTGTAGAATATTCCTTCTGCAAAATTTGTCTTTATCCCAGAATGTTATGACATCAGTTATGACATTCGCAAATTTGGTTTTACTAAAAATTAATGCCAACAAGCAAACACTTACAAACTCCCCCTTTGGCAAATTTTTG